TCATGGGTTCGAACCCTGGTGTTGGGTGCTTACTGTCGATGTACTCCAGTGCCGGTTTTCCAGTCATTCTCTAACTAATACCAATCCGTTGTCAAACTCGTAAAAACAAATTTAATCCTTAAAAACCAACTCTTGGAAAATGAATATATATTCAAGCTTAATTAACCGTTCATATTGTTTAAACTGAAATTTTTCATAAGGTTTATCGACACTACTGATTGACTGAGATAAGTAGCTATATGCTACTTATATTAACCACTGATGTTTTTGCTTGCTAACCAGATCGAAGTGATTTAAACAGTAGACGGCCATTTCGCTCTTTTTAGCCAAGCTCATCAGTAGTGTGCCCGGTTTGACTTAGTTCAGACAGACGTATCACAGTTCAAACCACCCGACATCTAGCTATCTACTGCATTCAGTAGTGTGTGGTTTTATGCGAATTTGCTTGCTTGCCAGCTTACCTGCTTGATTACAGTACAAGGTATCATTCAGATCACACACTGTGATCTGACCACATATGGTCACTGTGAGACAGCGTCAGGTAGATATGATTGCAAATGCAAACAAAGAGAAGCAAGTGATTGTCAGCGAGCTCCAGAATTCCAGAAATCAAGAAAAACGAATGAAACCACCAGAGCCAAGAAGATTGAATCAACAACTTCAGTCGAAAGTCTGACGAGGGGACGAGTGTGGTGACAGCTGTCTACTAGCCAAAATCGGTAGACAGCAATTCACGTCAATGTTTACGTTCCAAATCTTGGTCATGAGGAAAAAACAAGAACGAAGCTTCCTAACCTTGAGGAACTCAACAACCAATCACAGAAGACTTAGCGTGGGCGGATAGGATTCCCAGGTATATCACCGGACTGTCAAAGAAAAAACCACGGAGTGATCGCAGTATAACCTTCAGCAGGAAGATAACCAATCAGAAGAAGTTGTTTCTCTGCTAACAATAACGCCAATAATAATGTACACAAAAAATCTATAAATATCTGTTGATTTTCTCAATAAGCGGTCTGTTACCTGACCCTTGTCTTCTGTTGTTACAATATCAAACTGTGTATGTACAAAGCACTTGGTCACTTGTTATTAACTAGTTTCTGACGGAAATCTGAATAAAGATTTGAAGGGAACATACTTTCATCCACTATGAAATTCATAATTACAAAAGTTATTGAAAACAAACCAATAACCTTATTACATAACCTCATTAATCTGAATAGGGCGAAGTTAAACTTTCGGCACCACTAACTACCAATCAGCGAATTATCCAATGAGATTCACGACGATGTCGAATTATCCAATGAGGCTCACGAACGTAGTTCAATGTTGTATAGCGCTTGATTCATTTCAAATGCGTGCCCTTACAAGTTTACGGTTGCAATTCGAGGAGGATAGTATTTTCCAGTATTGCCCGGATTAAGGGTTGCTCCGGAAGGAGCAAACGTGTTCGTGTGGTGGTATCAAGACTTTAAAAATCTATGGCAGATCAACTGATGGATTTGTTCATCGTTGTGCTATATGTTTGAAGCCCACTAACACTAGAGAGGGTATGCTGATAATTTTATTATTTCGTAGGAACTTTTTTCGCTAGGTCGCTTCTCTCCCTAAGGATAGCAGATAGAAAAGCAACTACTCTTATACCTATTGTTACCAGAATTGTTAAGCGGGGGTCAATTATACACACGGAAAGGCTACAATTCGCTGTCATCTCTGGGATATATTCATCGTAGAAACAACCATTCAAGTGATTTTGTGGATCCCGTTACGAGGACACATACAAATTCTAATGAAGGATTTTGGGGCAGGTTGAAAAATAGGATAAGGGCTATAAATGGATCTCAAAAGGATCTCATTTATGGTCATTTGGATGAATATATATACAGGATATGGTGTAACTTCTCCATTGACAGTCCCATGCTAAATTGGGAGATGTTTCTCTCACATGTTCGAGAAAGATATCCTGTGTAACTTTTTTATTATGTATTTTATGCCTCTTTTTCTATAAATATACATTTCCATTCATCATATATGCCTCTTTAATGTGATTGGTCCATTCGAGGTCGTTTGCTGATTGGTTGTTAGTGGTGTCTAAAGTTTAACTTTGCCCTGAATAGAATATTCTATTGAAAGTACATTATGTCGGTTGTTGTTAATACAATCAAAAAATGTGAGAATACTTTTTAATGATACATACACCAATGACTAGAATTATCTGATTAACTGATTGACCGGTTTTTAAGATAGACACTGGCACATATATGCAGCACTTTGAATTACCACTCTCCCTTCATATAGTACACAAAGCAAGGGAAGAGAGTATTAGGCGTGAAACCTATAACTTATTAAATAGTCAGTAGAACAATTGGATCCCGTCTTTCCAACTCATATCATTTATAGGTACAACGTTTTTCTTTCTTTCTTTTCCTTTTCTCTCCCTCTTTTTTCTGTTATATGCTGCTTTGTTTCTTTCTTCCTTACTCACTTGATTAAAACATTCTTCTTCGTTCTTTCACACTCTGTATATCTCGACCTTTTTGTCAACGCTTACATTAGTAAATATGCTAGCATCTACTTTTCTAACACCTTCAAACACTCTGTTCAATTTTAGCTTTGCTACCGATATTCCAATATGTTATTTTCAAAACGAACTGAGATCACCTTTAATCTATGTAGAATTTTATTTATCGTTAATGTACAAGGTGGATGCAATACTGTAGTGAAATACTGAGAATTCCATTCTGTATCACAAGTACTGTTTTGGAATAAAGCAAATTATTATTATTATCAAAGAGAAATTCAAAAGAGAGGCAAAAGGAATAGTAATACGGGAGAAAAAAGAGCGAAGGCGCCAACTGAGAACGATTTTCAGCGATATCAACGATAAACGTCTCCCACCGTCACTGGTTCTTACCATCCCGGTGACCCCAACCAGCCAGTCACACAGTTTACACCTCGCTAAGTGATTGGCTGGTTGGCTTAAACTAACTGTTATTATTTTCATTGACCTATGAAGACATGTTTTGATTTGACCATCACTAGCTCTTTCCCAACCTGATCGTATGTCAGCTAACATTACCTGTCGTGGAGGAAGGCGATGGCTCGGTATGCGTAAAGCATGTCCTAACCATCTCAGTCGGTGTAACTTCGTGACCTCATAGATTAATTTCCCCTACCACCTACGTAGCACTCGACGTTTAACCACAAAATCGGTCACCTTAATAGGCCATTTAACACGGGAGATAGAACGCAGACACCTACGATCAAAGACGGCTAGCTAGCCTTTTCATGTCTCCCACTTTCAATGATTACATCTCACAGTAATAAAGAAGGACGGAGTGAACTGCTGAGTACTAGACACTTCCTTTGTTTGATAGTCGGGCATCATACCTACACTAGAGATGATGCAGATTGGCAAATGCCAAACGAGCCTTTTGTATCAGTGCTGCGATTCTGTCAGCAATCAACCCGTTGGGCTAATGCAACTAAAATTATCACTGACTTAAAAAAAGACACCGACAAGTAGTGGTATAGAATTCTGATTATCAGTATTCGGTGAATCACTTCTGGAAATGATTAATTCAAAAACCTTTAAAACTAACTGACTGAGTGAGATTTAACGTGGAACTTTATACTACTAAGTTGAGGCAGTTCAAGTTACCACACACCATGTAGTACACAAGTTAGAAAAAACAAGAGATTAAAAATAACTAAAATAAGCAGAAGTGTGCAAGAGAAAGAATAGTCACTTAGGGTTTAGTTGATATTGCGGATTATAGTAAGGGAGTGAATCTGCGTAACTGGAAACGATTCTGAGTAACATCAGTTAGCATCCCAAGGACCCAAGCCATGCAGTATTCACTTCCTTACGCTGCTGAAACTAATATCTGAAGGCTTTATAGATTGATACTAGGTTTGGTTTTGACTACTTCTATCTATTTACTAACCTTATACTATATCAGCTATGATTGGTTGTCTTGGAATACGATAACTCGATATGTATATAAAGTGTCCTAACCACCTGTTTCGATGTAGCTTCAATACCTTATCGACTGATTTACCCTCGTCATTTAACACTCGGCGCCTAACCTCAACATTACACACAGAATTATACCATTTGACACGTGAGACAGAAAGGAAACATCAGTAGTCAAAGACAACCAGTCTTTTCACACCTTCTTGTCCACTGTTGTTCCGTACACGCGCCCATTTAATAGACAGCCAGATGTTACATCTACGTCAAAGATGATACAAGTTGGAGGATTCCAACCCTTAAAGAAGTAGAAATGTATGTTATCACTTAACTATGAACCTGCTAACCAACTGACATGAAAAATCGCAAAGTGAAGGGCAAGAACTGCCTCATTCACTCTATCATTCGATAACCATCAAAACGTAGGTGTGGCTGATATATATCCATATAATAGGTGTGTTTGTTTGACAGTCTGTTATATTTTGCTATGTATATATGGATCGATATTCCATTATAATTAGCCAAGCATGTTAAGACTGTCTATTGATTTGTTCATTTTGAATATTCGCTCACACACTTGTGTTCACACACTTGTTCGGATATTCTTATATTTTGCTCTCACACTCTTGTGTGACACTTTGATTCCCCTTGTGTTTGGAAAATAGAAGTATCATCGCAAACCTAGTGGTCTTCTGATTTCCGTCTTTCTTGCGTCAGGACTATTAAATTCTCGACCAGTACATAACAGTGGCTTATTGACTTAACAGGGCCCACAAACAGGCTCAGGGGCAGGATCGCCCCCGTCTTAACCTGAGTGATTAGTGAGAACCACTTCGTGTGTGGCTTACACTTTGTTATACTAAAAATCTATTCTCCCAATTAAAAGAATTTACATTTCTTGCGAGTAAAATAACTACAAATTTTTATACTACCAATAAGCTATTCAGTAGTATCTTAAAGTTGTATGGAGTTTTTTTGTATTCAACATTAAATTTGTTCTTTAAATATTTCGTCTATACGCATATAGCTCGAAGCTGATGATCAAATTCGTCTATTGTGTGGATGTTGCCTTGATCTAATCACACTAAGAGCTGCTTACTGTTTGAGTAGATCAGTGAAAGCTCAAAGCTTAACTGAAAATACTTTATCAACCCAAACATCAACACCATCACAAGTCAGCACAAATAATCAAATCAACAACAACAACAACAAAGATTCATATCATCAAAACAATTACAACAGTAATAATAATAATAATAATAGTTGCAATAATTACAACACCCTTACACCCCCACATATACCAAATACTAATTATCCAAAACTTGGTACATCTGATGAAAAGTGTGCTCAACTAATTCGTGGTATAGCTATTAAAATGGCTAAATTGAATATTGATCAAACTGATGTTGCAATGATGGCGGCTATTTTATTAATGTCCCCAGGTTAGTTTGAATCGGTTTATGGGTGTGTTTATGTTTAATGTATGTTGTGTGTTTGTGTGTGTGTATGTATGCTGCATATATGAGGGTTAAAATAATTCAACTTGTGAACTTGTGTGAATATTATCTAAAATCATATTGAGGTCAATTTAAGGACAATTGAACAGTTGTCATTGGATTGAGTTTTCCATTCATCATGATTTTATATATGACAGACTAATAAACTCTTAACAAAATGATCTGATCTGATCAATAACTTCTGATACCCACATATGTCAACATTGAACTGATGAATAGAGTTTTAAGCTTTTATAAGCGTTTCATTTGTAGGCTAAGCATTATTTGAGTAAGGCTTTATAATGTAGAAAGATTTATTAACTTTAAACTTTTAGGCACATATTCTAATTTCAAATATCCAGTTACATGGAATATAGGTCAGTGTTTGAGCCAGCATGATTAATCTAACACACAAATCGTCCTATTTTGAAACTTATCATCTGGATGTCCCTGAATTCCCCAGTGGTGAGTAAGTGAGTGAGTGACGGTGTTCCCACCGAGGTGACTGTCGTGGCCCGAGTGGTCTAGTGCATAAATCCTTAGCATTTGAGACTATGGGCACTGGGTTCCAGCCTCGGTAGGAAAAGTATCACCCACTCACTGGGGAATGCAGTTACATCCAGATGATTAGTCCCAAAGTGAACAAAATGCACATCACTCATTCCGCTACTAGTCACCATGAACCAATTGGTTTCAAGTTACATGACCAGACATCGTCGGAGCACCTAACCCTACGTCAGCTAACATTGCTGCATGAGGAAAGAGAGATGTTTCAGAGTGCGCAACATTTAATTTAGCCATCTCAATCGATGTAGCCTCATAACCTCATCACTTGATTTACCTTAATTATATCTAACACTCTACACTTAGCCTCAATGCTACTCATCACACTGTACCAATTAAGACTTCTAGCTTGCAGACTGGTATGGAGATGTGTAGACATTTTTTGAATAGTATAGAAGAATACTTGTAAAAAAAAAGTTTTGACATTTATTAGCAGCCAGAGATTTAAAGTTGATTATTTTAAATTATGATTGATCGATAATTATAAGGTAATTAATTCGTGATATCAGCTAATCATTGATTTCAAAAGCATCAAATATCTTCAAGTATTGGTTTGTAGGCATTCGGTTGATTGGTTACAGGATTTCATCATGAGCTGACATTGGTTAGAGAACCATTGGAAAATCTTGGAGTACTGGAAAGCTGTTTCGTCCAAAAACAGCACATCTTCACTTTTTTTATTTTCTGCCATCCCTTCATCTGGGTCCACGATTGACCATAATCTATCATTTCTTCCTCACAAGGTCTCTTCCATGTCAACCTAGGACAACCCACTCATCAATTCCGGATAGAATTCCACTCAAGGGCCTGGTGCGTGATGTCATTCGACGGTTTCCTCAATGTATGCCTGATCCATCTCTATTTTCCAGCAGGCATACATTGAAGGAACCATCGAATGACATCGCACACCAGGCCCTTGAGTGTAATCCGATCGGGAAGTGACGAGTTGGTCTTCCTAGGTTGACATGGAAGAGATCTAGCGAAGAAGAAATGACTGGCATCAACACCCAAACACTAGAATATGGGCATGCATCTTCAAGGGTTTGTGTTCTCCTTACCGTTCTAAACTGCAGCTTAATGCATTTATCTCTAAGGGTGTAACAGCCTTGGTACACGATTAACTTGCTATTCCAGTTCAAAGTCATTTGTTTATATCGATGAATTACAAATGTATCTAGCTGAGCTAGATGACCAAACTACGAGTTTAACTGATAGAACTCAAATAGCACCTATAATAAGCATTGGACATATGACCAATGGATGTTTCCATAGCAGACTTACAAGAGGTTATTTATGAGACCAAATAACTGTAACACTGGGTGACAAGTGTTTAAATCTCCGAGGAAGGTATAAAAGCCTTTGAGGTTACAGAGAGACGTTTTTCTAACAAGTTTTATTTAGAACAAAACCTACATTAAGGCTTTCCTGCTGATAATCTCAAACCGCCTAACGTCAAATTCATATTCAAAATGGCGGTTCAGTTAAAAATCTACATAAAAGTTGGCACATCCACTTCAAAAACTACATAAACCACTGGGGAAACTATCAAAAATAGATAAGGTAATCAGATTTTCGTTGGTACATTTATCATTCGATGTAAGAGGTAGGGATTATGTAAATATACTTGCAATATTCACTGAACCGAGTTCTTCGAGACGTAGTCCTATCATTAAAAACTTGAATTTAGAGAGTTATACGGCCACATGACTACAAATTTCTTTTACTCCGTCACACTCTGATGAGCCCTTTCTCTGGTCCACTTAATATACGATTTACTTTTTGGAATTAATTTAGATTTTCCGTCGACTGAGTTTATTGTATCAGATGATCGCTGTTCGCTGACATGTCTTCTCAATAGCCTAGTGGATTGCACTTACGCGTTTGAAACCGTGGGTCATTCACCACTCCTTAGCGATACAGGTACAGTTAGGCAACAAGTACCAAATAGGATGAAACTCCCGTCCTTTATTCCACTCCTACTCTAACTACCATCCAAGTAGCAGGATAATCTCCAATATATTAGATGGATGGAGGATAGCAGGAACCCTAGGACCTAGGTTTTGTGTTTGTAGACGCTCACCAGTCAGCAAGGCATATCTGAAACTTTGAGGGGACTCGTATGCTTTGTGAGATTCGAACCTATGTCACCCAGCACTGCATCCAGAGAAGGCGCTACCACTAAGCTATTCGAACTCGTGATTCTCCTCCTGTAAGGTTGTATTGGATACTGTAATCGGACACTAGGTGGGTAAGTGACTAGTGCCATGCGCTTGGTCCTTTGTTTCTTGCAGACTGAATTCTGTCAGTCAAGTTTACAATGTGGCCACCATACCAGATGGCTTCAAGTCTTTCTGCTGAGTGCCTCCAATCATCTAATAACAACAAGTCCGAATGCACCATGATGGTCACATTGCAAAATCAAGTGATAACATGATAAAACGGAATAAGGTTAACTGGACACTGGCGTTTATAAAAAGACAAAGCATTCTGCTAATAGATATTTAGACTTAAATTCATCTCATCCGTTGGTTATCTGTCTGTAAAGGCTGGCTTAGTTGTGAAGTGTCTAACAAACCGAGCAGTAGCACTAAGTAACACAAAGAAAGACCTAAATAACGAAATAAAACAGATAGAAGAATAGCTGGTTGGTGTTAAATAACCAATGCGTCGGTGGTGTGGTGAGAGCAGGCTGCTAGCCAATTGGTAGACATTAATCTAGGCTGATTCAACAACCAATCACAGCAGACTTAAACGTGGGCAAATATGATTCGCAGATAAATGGCTCTACTTTCCGAGAAATATCGAAAACAACCAATCAGAAGACTGTGTTTGTCTACTTAACTTCCGAGAAACAACCAATTAGAAGACTGCATTTTTCTGCATGAATAAACTATAATAATGTACATAAAATATATATAAATATGTGCTGATTTTCGTAATAAAATGATCTGTTGCCTGGCCCTTGTCTTCTGTTGTTACAGTGGTATAGCGGCTAGGACGTTTGCCGACCGTGCATATGGTCCGAGGTTCGACCCCCGGCCGGCGCACTCCTTTACCTCACTGGGCCAGAAATAATCCTGGTAAAGAGGAAAAGTTGGGCATGAGGCTAGCAACCCCATCCTGTAAAAATTAAACACTGCTACAGAAACTTCAAGCCACTAGCTTGGAGCCCTATGTTCCACTGGGAACGTGAAGGAAAAATTATTATTATTTTTATTGTTAAATAACCAACTATCCTATAGAATTCATTAGGAATACCAAAAAAGGTCAAAATAAAAATAATGGTGAAACTAATAATGATAACATAAATAAGAAAGAATATAAGGCATCTACAGTTTTAGAACAAGACATATAAGCGAATAATATTGTTGTTTTCAATTAGATCTTCTTCAGGCTTTACTCTAATTTACGTAGATTTATACATAAAGATGTAACCAATGACGGTGATTTTATGGATCAAATAATAATGATAATAATAGTAACGTGGTAAATCGTTTGAATGTAGTTAATAACGATGATTATAATGATAACAAAATATTGATAATAAGGTTTATGCAGGTGGCGATAAGAATAACAAGGATGGTATATGTATATATGGTGTATATGTAGACAATTCAACAAATAAATAAACTCGGTCAAATCTTAAAAGTTACATAATATTAAAGGTAGGTGAAGTGGACAGATAATCAGAGCTTAAATAAATATCATAAAAGGACGAAGGAAAATAAGGCGGAAAATAAGAAAGGTTGGGAGGGTTTTGATTATAACTAACCTAGGTCGGGCTAGGTAGAGACAAAGGTAGAACGAACTTCTGTTGTATGCAAAGACTAGGATTTTTCTCTAGGCTATGTCTAAAAGACCGGTTCAAAAGGCTCGATGGAATGCGATAGATAGATAACTTTGAAGGCACTATTTTTTTTCCACTTGGTAACCGCTATCATCAATCAAATGAGCCAAAAATCTACAGTTTTACCATATAAGGAGGGGACATCTGAGGCCTCTATATTAAAGAATTAGAGTGGCATTTAAACCTTCTACAAACTCACTTAGGTAAGACAAATTCTGTAGACTGAAATACCCGGTGGACCCAATTAAACAAAATAATATAATTTACAAAGTACTTTGTAGTGACTGTGCGGTAAGCTACATCGGTCATACTAGTAGGTCGAGGGTAGTCAAATTGCCGAAACATAAGAGTTTAGCTAAGAGAAGAATGGTTGACCCCGAGAAGATAAGTAATTTAGAAAAACAAACTAAGGACTTTCACTGCATGCATTAACACACAGCCACACAATAGCATGGTGGGAGAGGGTTATTCTTATTCTTAGAAGTAATACAGGTAGGTGGAGAGAGAGAGAGAGAGGTGATTGATTCTTGAATCCTAGTTCGTAGAGTCTACACTCAACACAAGCAACAGAAGTGACTCAACGCAAATACCAGAGATACCATGGAAGATATTATTACCACCAGTCAGGATAATAAATAATGCTAAAGTTTATTCATTTCAATTCACATTCTAATAAGCTACTTATTTTGACTACAAAAACACTCGTCTTATTTCCCGATCAATGGCACTCATAGTATTATTTTTGAATGTACATTATTCCATATTGATTTTTATTCAAATGTCTAATCAGCTTTCACTCATGTATATAAATGAAGTGAAAAAAGTTGTGTCAGTGACTTGTGATATGATTGATTATCAGCAATGATAGATTGTGCTCGAAACATGGTCATCAGTTAATATTACTGTATAACACCACTGTGTGTGACTTTATCAAAATAAAATCTTATCTATAATGAAGTTAAAATTCACTCTGTACTAAAGAAAGAACCAAACTCATGACACTAGTTACCACCCAGTATCTAGTCAATATGATTTCGAATTTATTACGTCATCTGAAGGTGATCATCATTTTTCATTACTTCTGAACATTGCTCAGTTTTTGTAACATAATAAAATTTTACTCTTCTTGTATATATATATATCAACAGATCGAAGTGACCTTCTAAATACAGACATAATAGAGAATAATCAAAGTACTCTACTGGAAACATTTAATCGTTATGTCAATCGTTCCCGTGGACAAATTAAACAATCCGGTAATTATTCAATTCCCAGCTCACAATGTTGGCCACGTATTATAATGACACTGACTGAACTACGTTCGGTAACAATGTGTGCACAAGATTTCTTCACGCATACTCAGGAGGAACACAATGATGATACAAATCAGTTACCATGGTATTTTCATGAATTATTTTTAGTTGAAAATGAAGAGATGGTCAAGGTTAAAGACTGAAATTCAGCGGTGGTAGATCTACGCGCATTTGAAGTTTAAACTATGCTACTTTTTTTTTCTAATATACACCAAAATAGAAGTAAAACAATCTTAGTTGAATATTGGACATTGAATTATATTTCAGTTGTCAATATCACCTTTAATCTGTATGAGTCACCTTGTTCATTTTCAACTTTCAGTCCTTTAAACAACATTATAGTCCAGTGAAGAGAGACGAGCTTATATTTCTGCCTTCTCAACTTAGTATTGGTATAATTTTAAGACAGTTATCTTAGTGACAAAAACAATCGCAGCAACATTAAAAGCTTTCGACTACCTCTCTTTGTTTTGAACATTTGCACAACGTTTCTATACCCTACATCTCTTCTTCTTCTTATCATTATTATCCCATTTTATCCTTTTTTTTCTAAACATAATAATACTTCTTCAAGTTCTCGAATGAACACATGTGTGATATGCCGAATCAAAAAAGAAATTTTGATTAAGGCGCCGTGTCTTTTCTCATTTTTTGCAATGATTTATTCAAAGTATCTGCTGCTTAGAAAAAAATATTCATACCAGCCACTATTCAATGGTGTTATACGCCACTGTGTTATGCACAAGTAAACTGTGACACACACACACACACAACAACACATCAAAATCTCAGGGATTCAAAATAAAATTCAAATTTGCCTCATTTACAAGTGATAGAGATAGGCAAATTTTTTTTCTCTGTCGTTTAACCCTCCTTTTCTTTTTATCATAATATAGAAAGTTCATAGAAAGTTCAAGGGTCTCGAATGTGCACAGCTACATTGTACCACTACATTTTCTGTCTTTGGTGAATGAAAGGAAGAACGGATATTCTTTTAGGCTTAACAGAATATACCTGTGATTATTATTATTATTATTATATCTCTTTCTATTAATTATCTCTATTTCTATTATACATTTGTTTGTACCTTAGTGTGTTAGATATCAGCCTGTGAAAACTCTATTGTCCCTTTAATTTTTTCGTAATAATAATGTTCAATAATATTGTTTTTATTTAAACAACATATCTAGTGTCTTTTCCCTCGCCTCTGTCTGTCTGTCTGGATTCAACATAGAACTTGGCACCGAAGTGCAGCACTTCGAGTTGCCACGTTCCAATTGGCACACAAGGTAGACAAGAAGATGAGTGAAGAGAATCAATAGAGTTTAACAAATATAAGAGTGAAACAGAATGAGTAATTGTAGAAAGGAATATGAAAGATTACAGAGACTGAATACATCTGCGCTGGCCATTGACAACGATTTCGAGCCATGTCACCTATTGTCTCCAGCCATTGATTCCTAGAGTCCCGAGGGCCCCAACCCGGGAGTCTGCATCTCCCTACCTGACCGACTCAGTTTAACTGTCAAGGATTTCATGGATTGATGAGGCCATGTTTTTGTTTGGCCACCACTGGCTCTTTTCCAACCTGCACCTATATCAGCTAGCAAAGCCCGTCGGGGGAGGCGATGGTTAAGCATGCGCAGCGTGTGACCTAGCCATCTCACTCTATGTAACTTTATAGCCTCGTCGATTGATTTTCCCTCTTTGCCCAACACTCTACGCCTAACGTCAACATTACTTACCTTATTAAACCACCTAACGTGAGACAGAGATCGCAGACATCTATGATCGAAAGCAGTCAACCTTTTCATGTCTTCAACGCGTATTGGCCATGTTTCAGAGCCATAGAGAAGGACGGAACGAACTACTGAGCAGTACACACGTCCATTGGTTGATAGCCGGATGTCACGCCTACGCCAGAGGTGGTGTAAGTCAGCGAAAGCAGCTCGAGCTTTTCGGATCCGTGCTGAGATTTCATCGCCCATCAGTCCGTTGGTGCTGATACAACTTCCCAAATAGGTGAAGTGGTCAACATATTCTATCACTTCACTCCCTATCACTAAGTTAGGAGTTGACGTAGTCCAGTCCTGTAGCAGCATCTTACATTTTACAGGGGCGAATCACATGCCAAACATACGAAGATTGCTGCTCAAGGTGTTCAGAAGACTCTGCATTTTGTCAGAATCCTCCCCTAACAGGACTATGTCATCTGCATATTCTAAGTCCATTAGATTATTCCCTGGTAACAAGTCGATTCCTAAGTCACTACGTTCAGTTAAGGATACTTCCATTAGCATTTCTATGATGAAGTTAAACAGAAATGGGGAAAGTGGACATCCCTGTCGGACACCACTGGTTGTTTCCCTCGCGGCGTTCCCTCGCCTCCCTTTATTCAAGCAATTACCTGGGGTTCTAGTGGGAAGCCGTTACCAGTAAGGTACAGCAGGTCGAAGGTGAGGACAGTTGCTTGTCGAAGACATTGATAAGTGATCGCAGAAGTTGAAATTGATAGACTGCGCCTGGTTATTAGATCGGGTGGTACCCGATGGCTGAATGGTCTACGAACTTGCTAGTCTTTTAACGGGGAGGTCCTGGTTTCGAACCCTGGTGGTGGGTGCGTGTTGATGAAGAGTCCCAAACTAGGACGAAACAGCTGGTGGTTTTCTAATTTTCCTATAAGCAATGTCAGCTCATGATGAAATACTTCAATCAATCAAGCGAAATCCCTACATAGCAATACTAGAAAATTAGAAAATAATATTAAATTTTTTAATTATTTTAATCTTACTAATTATCCATATAGATCCTATTGGGATCTACTAATAATGAACTATGCTGTCGATAACGGGTGGATTAATATGAGCGGGAGGATGTTTGTAAGATTCTACTCTTTTAGATGTAAGGCTGAACGCAAACAGTCCGATATTTCAGTTCCTAGCTGATGAATTATTAAACCTGCAGTAGAATGTACGAACGGTTTTGAACTTTAAGCTGTGAAGTTTCAGTGTAGCATTGGTGTTGTTTGTTTACCGGGTGGGTTATCCAGCCGCCTCTTTTTACCTGGCTTAATGTCGGTTAGGTGAGGTTAACGAGTGTATCGGTAGGAGGTCGAACCCTGGAACACGTGTGGCTTGGTTGGCGGGTATAATTATGATTTATATGGATGAATCTTCAAGTACATGGAATTTGATGAATTGCTGGAAATTGTATATACAAGGCAGTCGAGATCTGTGTGATGTTAACAGGTCAGTGGTCTATGTCCCGTTTCATCTAATCACTAGCCTTCGCAGGATAAGTGTGACACTTATTATAATCATCATTATCAATCCCTTAGGTTGCGAGTGGAAGATAAGCGTCAACAGCACGCCCCCATTTTATCCTGTTCTCTGTAATCCTCATCAACTGGTCTTACGATTATTCATAAGCTCTCACTTCCTTCTGACACGATTTTCCCCATGTTACCTTCGGGTGTCCTACTCTTCGTTTTCTCCTCAGGTGCCACTCGAGCGATGACCTGGCGTGCAATGTCACCTGACGGCCTCTTCAGCGTATTTCCAATCCATTCCCATTTTCTTCGGAAAGTTTGTTGGTCATTAGGTTCTTCATTGGTTTCGTTCCTCCCCAGAGTTCCTTGCTGCTAATCCTTTCTGGCCATTTTTGATCTTCAGTTTGGGGCGAAGTGGTTAACTACTGATGGAAGTCTGCAGCTGTCTGTTAGAAACGCTTTCGATGACATATCCTGCAAGCTGAACCATATAGAAGAAGTGGCTTAACATTGATGTTGAAGGTTCAAATTGTGTTCTTTGTGATTAGGGCAGTAAATTTCAAAACTGATTTCAAGTGATGTAAGTCTGCCTTTCCGTTTCGATTCCGGCTTTGACATCCTCATCTGTGCCAACTTCCCTCAGTTGAAATGATGCTTCCTAGATAAATGAACGAAGTGATCTTTTTCAAATTTTTTCCTATTAATGGTGACTGGCGCTTTTGGCTAGTTGGCTATCTTCATCATCTACGTATTCCCTATGTTCACCTGAAGTACTGTCTCTGCTGCTTCTTTGCCTGTAAGTCTTCGACTTTGTGTGACATTAAACCTAAATCAGCCACGCGCGAAACCTTCTAGATCTTCTAGAGTCTTCTTATTGGTTGTCCAGATTAGTCCTGTCTTCTCACTCCCTACGCACATTTGGACGCATAATCCGGTCCACCAAAATTAAGAATGTTATCGGTAATAATCTGTCTGTCTGTCTGTCTGTTTTCGACATAGAACTTTGCACAAATGTGCGGAAGTTCAAGTCACCACACTTCCCTATGTAGCACGCGAAGCAAGAGAAGAAAGTACAAGAAAAGCATAATAGAAACAGTGAGCAGAGGTGTGAGACAAAGGAGTTATAAAGAAAAACAAAACAGTTTCATTGGAGATCACAAGTCACAAGGAGTGGATGCATCTTTGTGCTGGCCACTGAGAACGATTTTGAGCCATGTCACCAATTGTTTCCAACCATAGATTTTTACCGTCCCGAGGACCCCAGCCTGGAAGTCTACACCTTCCTACGTGGCTTAGACCAACTGTTGTGGTTTCATTGACTGGTGGGCCAAGTTTTTGTTTGACCGCCGCTAGCTTTTTTCCAGCCTGACCCTATATCCGCTAACATAGCTCGTCGAGGGAGGCGATGACTAGACATACGTACGTGACACATGTCCTAACCATCTCAGTCTTTGTAACTTCATGACTTTGTCGATTGATTTCCCCTGTTTACCTGGAACTCTACGCCTAACTCAATGTTGCTCACCTTATTATGCCACTTTACACGGGAAATAGAGCGGAGGCACCTATGATCAAAGACAGCTAGTCTTTTCATGTCTTCCGCTCTCAGTGGCCAGGTCTCGCTCACAACCATAAAGGAGGACGGAGCGGACTGATGAGCAGTACACCCGCCCTTTGGTCGATAGTCGAACATCTCGTCTACTCCAGAGTCGGCGTAAACTAACAAATGTGAAACTAGCCTTGTGTATCCGTGCTGAGATTTCGTCAGACATCAGCCCGTTGGCACTGGCTGATGGTACTTCCCAAATAAGTGAAGCGGTCAACGTGCTCTACCACTTCACTTCCTATTTTTAAACTAGGCGTCGATGTAGTCGGTAATAATAGAGAACCTTTTCTTACCCCTGTATCCACTTCAAAGCCTTCACTGTCTTTCTCGTTGTGGATTGCTTAACATGTGGCACTATCATATAGCTGTTGAAATATGCTGACAAAGATTTGAATCACTTCACTCCAAAGTATTGAAGTAGTTTCCAAATTACTTCTCGGTCAGTGCAGTTTATCGAAGTCCATTTCAAAGTCTATAAAGCTGTGGTACAGATTTGATTGCCATTCTATGCTTTGTTCGATGGTGATATATATATATATAGTTTTTAACACAATACAAACAAATTTACCAATCTAGTAGAGATATGTTTGTCAACAATAATTGGTCAACATCGGCAAGTTAAACGGCAGGGTGATAATTCGCAAAAATTAGCGCCAAGAGTCTAAATTGTAGGCCAGAAGATTTAAACAACGAAATCAAACAAATAAAGAAAGTATTACTAGTGAATTACTAATTGGCCAACAGAATTTATTCAGAAACATATATGAAGAACTATAGAAAAACTAAGATTAGCAATGGAAATGACGAAAATAATAAATAATTCATAGCCTCTGTAGTACTGCCGTATAAAGTAGGAACGTCAGATGCCCTAAGTAGGATTCACAATCAGGCTGGAATTAGAGTGGCATTTAAACCAACCAAGCAACTCTCTCATAGAAAAACTTTGTCGGTTTAAGGACTCACCCAATAGATTCAGTTAAGGGAACTAATATAATTTACCGAATACCATGTAATGCTGACTGTGAGGTCAGTTACATAGGTTAAACTAGTGAATGGGTGTGTCAGTGTCCAGCTCTTACTACGCTGGACCTCACGCTGTCCCTCGAAAAATTTCAGAAATAATTTGTAATAACCAACTCTAAAAAAACCAGAACACAAATTAGCAACTCGAGAATCCTTTATTCTTACGCCAATATGTTGCCAACAATAAGGTTATTACACACAAGGTCTAAGAATAAATGTTATAACAATAAATCACAATAATACTTCTGATAATTTTCTGTCTTCCACCGAACGGCGAACGATGAGA